ATTGCATTGGATTGTCTTAATTGTCTCTAATGACTAAATTGTCCCAACTATTTGCTTCATTACCTTTGTGTTAGCTCTATTAGGAAGGAACGGAGCCGAGGAGGAGACGGTAATTGAGAGTGTTAATGAAGGCAACATGATGAGTGCAATGCAGAGAGGAAAAGTAAAACAAGTGTGATGCTTTTGGCATCTTTGACAGTTTGGTGGGGCATTTTATTCTGAAAGGATCTTGAACAAATTACATTTTAAAGTAAAATAAATGTTTTTTCCTAATCTAACAGGATAATTCCACATTCAACACAAATTCCAGTGTCAGTATTTACCTCCTAATGCAGCAGGTATCAGTTAGTCACACCACCTATCCCTCACAGCTCTGACTAAAACCATCAGACTTGAGCTCTCAGTCTGCTAAACCCAGCTCCAGATTAGGGTCCAATTGTCCGCAGCGGAGCAGATACAGTGGGATTTTCTGTAGTAAAGACAGATGTTTTAGAAGAAGTAAAGGGATTCTGGTTCCACAGAGGGGCTTTAGCTTTGTCATCGCTGTTAAGATTTAGCCTCATGAACCCATTTCTTTAATTGGAGTCCGGGCAAAGCCGGCCACACCCTGTGTCAATATTGGCAGAGAGTAAAAGAGGACACCTGGGACAAACAGGATTTAGATTTGAGGCTGTTTTGAACCTGTGGGGATTATCACAGGTTGATAGTTAGGGCAATTTTTGACTGTGACATATTGAATATATAACTACTGAAATAAAGGATAATCAAACTGTAGACATGAAACTAAATGCTCAAGGAGTTCTAAACTGCGCATGTGTATTTTCTCATGGAGAAACATGGTAATGAACCTTTCTGCCAATATTGTAAGATAAATGTGTAGCAGCTATTTTACTGGTGAGTAAAATTTAAATTTGAATATTTGTTTGCATTCAAAAACAACACATCCCATTAGTCCCAGGAGAAACAGAAGAACTGTACAAGTGAATCTAAACAGAAAAACCCTGAATTACACTATGCTACTGAGGCTGAGGTTAGTCTTTAAGTGTTTCAGCAAACGTACCAACATGGATATGAAAATTTTCTGGGATCAGTTAGACAAATAGGATCTTTTTCAGCTTGATTTTAAAAATGAGGAAAACATTACACACTAAAAATGTGTAACCTAAATGTAAACAAAAAGGCCGAACCCACAACCAAAAACCAAATCACCCAAATGTTACTTACATTTAAAACATATTGAGATTGGAAACATAAATTTTTTTACCAGTTTGTTAAATGACATATATGTGCATATATCTGTATATGTGAGTCTACTCTGCGCCCTTCCTGTTATTTGGTATTCAGACCCTCAGGCTCTCTTTTTAAGTGCTTGTCCGAATAAACCTCACATAAGACCAGAACTCTATTTGTCCATTTTAATATCCCATTACTCACAATTTCTTCAACAACGTGCACGCATTCGTATTATGTATACGCATGGTGAATCTTTCAGTGAGAGAGGATCATTGTCCATTTCTGCCGTAGTAACAGTTAACACGTGAAAGTTCCTTCATGCAGGTGAAAGCTTGTCAGTATTACTTAGCTCTTCCAGGAAACTTAGACCCTCCCCGTATGATCTCTCCTCGTTCAATCCTGCAGTGTGTGAGATTTTTTTCTCTCCAACAATCTCTTGTTCTGTCTCTCCTTTTCTTTCTCTCTCCTTCTCTGCCACTCTCTCCAGTTTTCCTCTCCTTTTTTCAACACATAGGTGGATTAAGGCAGAGGGGCTTTTGTTTAGATAAAGCGAAGGATTAGGGAGAGATTTGCCCCCATAAAGTTGTGGGCTTAATGGGCCTTTTATCCCTGCATGTCCCTAAAGCTGTGTTGCCTCTGGATTAGGACTATACAATGGGGCCCCTTGTGCAGAGGGATCCGGGCCAGAGAGAGCGAGAGAGAGGAGAGAAGGCAAGGTAAAGAAATGAGACAGAAGGACTGAGACAAGGAAGAAAAAGAGGGCAATAAGAAAGAGAGGAGGGGATGGATGGAGAGAAAAAGAGGGGGAATTATACAGCTTTAAGAGGAAACTGACAGGTTGAAAACTTTTAGAGGAGGGATTTGCAGAGGAGATCCTGAGATCTTGTCACCAATAAAAGGGATTTCAGGAGGATTCAGAGGCGTGGTGCTGACAATAAACCGCAAAATTCTGGCTGTCTTTTTAAATTCATTTATCTAATATATTCGAAAAAAATAAAAAAATAAATAGGAAAAGCGGGTCTTACTGTGGAAGTGCTGCTAATAACGTGTCTAAGAGGTGGCTCCTGGCAAATTGCTTTGTTATTCTTGTCAAAAAGGTCTCCTGCAAGAAGTCGATTTTAAACTACACATCAAAATGATTAATTGCTGTGGGATGAACAGATGCTGAAATACCCTTGAATGGTGCCGGAGAGGCTGAGGCTTGCTGGATTGCAGACCTAATGTATTCATGAAGTTGCAGAAACATCATTAAGAGTATTAATTAGCTATTAGAAAGCAGAATTTACTGGCATTAAAGATCATTTTGTTCCTCATACCTTCATCAAATACAGACAAGAGTTCACTTCAGATGTGTGCAAAAAAAGAGAGAGCAAAAAGGGGTTAAACCTGACAGGAGATCAATACAGGAACAACTGAAATGTATATTTCAAGAAGAAAGAGTTTACTCACTTTTTAAAAAATCTACATGAGGTTATTGGACTTTTGCCAAATTAACATTTTTTAAATTCTGGGTTTGTTCGTCAACTGGAGGTCATTGTTTACGCACCTTGTATTCAGCAGTGCATGGCTGGGTATACAGGGGTAAGGGGAGCTGTTTTTGGCGTTTAAGCCCTTCAGATGCGCTGGACAGCTCTAGTCGCTCTAAGGAGCTTTAGGTGGAGAGGCGCTGAGAAGAAACTCTTTCTCGCTTTAATTGCTTTAGAGACGGTCCTCACAAAGAGACAGTGGCCAGATTTACCTCCCGTTTAAGTTCTTATTTCCATTGGTTCACAAGTTAATCCTCTTTCTTTCTCAGACCTCGGAGAAAAACCGAGTGATAGGAGCCTCCACCAAGGCGACACAACCAGAGAGGCACACGAGTTTTTTTTTCCAGGCGAGGGGAAAGAGACTTTGAAGCACACATGGAAAAAGTTTTAGGTGGTTGGAAAGTAACAGATTTCTAAAGAAAGGCGCACCAGGGAGATGGGATTTCGACAACAATTACAGCAGATAATAATAATAATAATAAT